ATTGTCTTCTGGTTTTTGTAATTTTCTGTATTTTTCTTACTTTTATTATCAATGTATCTTCTTAGTTGTTTGTAACATAAATATTATGAGTAAATATTCTAGAAGACTACTAAGTTTGAATTTTTATATCTCTTGTTTCCTACTTCTATGACTTTGACAACTAATTTAATTGCCTCAGGTCTCAATTCCTTGAACTATGGATCATCAAGCAATCCTGACACCTGAAATTCTCATTACTGGATTTTCTGGGTTTTGAGACACAAAATTGGGCATGTACAATAGCAATCTGGCTTAAGGAAAAATGGCCAAAAAGAGAACAAACTCAAGCAGATCAGGATGGCAGATTTAGATGCAGAAGCATGTAGTTCTGCTAGGTTACCATCTCTCCTCTGTTGCACATCTATAGTTTCTCTGTTGCTTTTTATGACTAACAATTTTAGAAGGGAGAGACTAGATTTTTAAATGGAGATTCTGTCAACATCAAAAATTTGACAGCTTAATCCTTAAACTCCAATCAAGGGTGTTCCTGAAAGAAAATAATGAAAAATTCTCCAATGGTAAGAACATTTGATTATTCATTTCATCTGGACAGATTTATATTAATTCATGGCTATTTGCTAACAGCTTGGCTGTGTTAAATCCATTCCAGTATGAAAAGATTGTGGAATAAGCATCTACTTTGGATATGTATATTCTACTAATATGTAATTGAATATGTAATTCTGCTAATAATGTTTCTGCCATCACCATTAATTGTGAACTTACAGAATTAATTACTCTCCATCAAGATATTTCACATAGCATTTGTTTTTCCAAGCAATTAACTCATTCACTGTTCCCTTGATCAGCCCTGAACAATTGCAAGGGTGCTCCTTATAAGCCTGAAAACCGCAAAAGGGACTTTTGGGGGTCTAGCCAATGCAAACAAGCCAAGTTAAAGGAAGAACAGGAATATCCTCACGTCCATGGAAATTGCTTATCTTACCATGAACCTTATTACCTGAAGCAACTTGCCTGACGGAATAGTGAAAATATCCAGTGAAATCTCAACCAAACTATGATTTCAGTATAAATGCTCTAAATAGATTAGAGTGCATCTTATGAGGTGCATTGTGGGCATAAGTAACTAATATATGGTTTTGTTTTTTCCTATAGTCCAAATACATAGGTCCAAGAATCAAAATGTGGAAATGGGGACACATTTTTCCACCCCTAAAATTTTCATTTTTGCTCATTGGAAGACTTAATTGTGGAGGAAGAAATGTTTCCATTAAGAAACATAACAGTGATTCAGTTGATTTCAAAGCTCGCACAGTATGACCATTTTAAGATCCTGTGCCACTGAAACCATAGGTAGGAAGGGAGGTCTTTCTATTCTCTGAGAAAACTGATCCTGATTGCTGAAGAGGAATTGGAGTGAGGTTGCACAATAAGGTAGAAATGACTATGTCTGGAATACATGAGATTCTCTGAAGGGCTACTGAATTCTTTCTGTGCAATAATAAAGTAAATATAAAACTCTGGAACTAACAGAAGGAGGATGGCTGAATATTTGAATCCTACAAGAATAAAGTTGGCATTATCCCAACAGGTCAATAAACCTTACCTGGTGAGGTTCTGATTGAGAGAAAAGAAAAACAGAATTGGTAAGTAGAAAAAGAAAGTTTTTACAGTCTCATTATTGGTCCCAAAGGCAAAGACTGGGCAACTATGCCTCTTTTCCTTTCTTGTCATAACTTTAGTCTTCTCTCTATTTTTATATAATAATTGGTGGCAATTGACAGGTGGAATTTATTGAATTTGAAAAATATTCACCATTGGACAGGAATGAGTATGTAGGCTATTAGAGAAATAGAGATAAGTTTTAAGAATTTGTCTCCTCCTTACTCAGAGAAAGGGTAAGGGTGTCTTTATTTGTATTAAGGATAAATACATCTTATTAAGCAAAAGCATAAAATTATCTTTCTTGTTAAATAGAGTCCAAATATATATGTTGTGTCTTATAAGATAACCTAACCTTTTTAGGATGCGTATGCTGAAATCATACTTTAATTAATTAGTGCACAGATGCCAAGCGGCCAAAGCCAAGACTGCACTGGTTATTAAATGATTGTCACTCATCTTTAAATGCACAGTTATCTGCTCTGCTTTATGATTCTGCCTTTGCAAAGTAGCTGCCTGTTAAGCTGCCAATAAGGAATACAGCAGGGACACTGGAAGGTTGGAGGAAGAGAAAGAAACACGTTTCTTCCTAACTCCTGTGCCTCTTGCAGGTCTTCATTAGATTTCAGTGCTACAATAGGTTCCATTTTATGGTCCCCAATCCCACTTCCAGAACCAGCCTCATGATGCTCCCATGGAGATACCAACACCACCTGAACAGTGTCCCTTCCCTCCAGGGATAAACTTAAATTTCTTGGAACCCCTCCTTGGAGCTCTTGTAGAGCCAACAATAACTAAGCAATCCCTCCTCAGATATCTGGGTCTCAGTTCCAAGGGATCCCTCATTCAGCCTACTAGTAACCTGACCTTTTCCTTGTGTTCCCTTGTTATAGTTAAAGCACCTTCCCAGGATTTCATAAACTGACTTCCAGACCACTCACGTATAATCGAATTAAGCCTTTATTGAAGCACACCAGTGGTGACTGTCCAGAACATAAAGCTATTCCCCTGATCAGCCCTGAACAATTGCAAGGGCACTCTCTATAAGCTTGAAAATCGCAAAAGGGATATTTGGGGGTCTAGCCAACGCAAGCAAGCCAACTTACACAAGCGGGAGAGTTCAGTCAGGTGGAGGGACACTTAGCCAATCATAATTAGCCCAGTCACCCCAGTTACAAAAACAGAGCCTCATTAACTTAGTTACAGAAACAATGCCCCATTAGGAAGTTACGTGTTCTTAAAGGTTTCTATAGCAAAAGGAAGAGAGCAACTTGCCCTGGTCATGACCCTTCTACTTGGCATGGTTGTTTTAAAAAATGGAGTTACTAAACAAAATGGAGTCACTTTGGTTTGACTATCACACCCTCAGCCTATGGATTTTAGCTGCTTCCTGAGATTTCTATCTCTGTTAACTAAATGTCCTCCTTTGGCTTTTTCTAACCTCAAATACCTGGTTAACAATTTTTTTTTGTTGTTGTTTTAAAGTCTCAATGAAAATAGAGGGTGAACCAAATAAGGATACCAGTTGTATGACTTTCTCCACCATGCGGCCTGCGCAATGGTTTCATTAATGAGGTTCTTGGCATAAAAGTTAGCTAGAAGAGATCGAAATAAAACACACAGACTCAGTTACCTTATTTCTATTGCCAGGTCTGAGACGGCTCCCCTCTCTGGTTCCCTCCTCTAACTGCCCAGCAGGGCAGCAGGGATTACTCAGGGCTAGCAGGAGAGAGAGAGAGAGAGAGAGAGAGAGAGAGACAGTGAACAGCCTGGGAGTAGCTTTTTATTGGGGAACAAGAGATTCAGGGGAGAATTCCATCCAATGAAGGTTGAGGGGGAATTGCATTCCAAGGTCAGGATCAGTGATTGGGCCCCTGGGGTCAGTGGTCAGGCACACCCCCACACAGATGGGTTCTCTCATCAGGAAAGGGCCGGGAAAGTTCCGACACAGCCAGAACACCTCAGACCCTTAACAGGAGCCGCCCAGTCACGTGTCAGGATGGCTCCCCACAACTTTCAGGTTGGTAGGAAGAGAAAATGAACCAAAAGGAATAAAGGATTTATAGACATGCCTCTCACATAGTAATTACCATGTACAGTCTTAGCTATTATTATTCATTCAAGGTCTGAGTCTCCTGTTAGACTCTGCTCCATGAGGATAGGGATATAGCTATGGTATCCTAGAGCCTGGCATTTCCTGGAACATGGTATGTTTTGAATAAATATTGTTAAAGTGATTGAAAAGTAGTTTGCTTGGGAGAGAAAGAAGGTAAACAATGTGGGTATGCAGAAATGTGATTTTTTCCCCCAATGGGAATTAATCATTTTTTGCAGACTTCATTATACCAGTTGGTTAGGAGCCAAACTCATCATATCATTGCTCCAACTCCTCTTTTCTAGCAGGGTGCTAGAATTACACATTGTGGAGTGTGTGAGAGATGGAGGTGGGGTGGGAGAGGCATGTACTCATGGAGTATCTGTCTATAAAAGTTATAATGAAATGTCTGATGGCCAGATCTAAATGGCATCCTTGACTTCACAGCTGTCAGCTTCTTTTGTGCCATGCTTCAGGCAGGTGAATATTTGCATTGCTGCTTGTGGTCTCATCTCCTTGGAAGCCTCCTGTAGCTCTTCTCTGTCTAGGGCTTGATGCTCTTCATGAATTTGCCAGGGAAGCTGGTATAGGCACTTTGTCTAGAATGCCACAGATTTCTTCTCTTTTGCATCTTCAGCCCCCAGTCAGAAAGAATGGCCCAGTCATTCCCCAATCACTCTAGAAGGCAGGATTTTTTTCTCTTTGTGTCTCTTGTACAAGTTCTTCTCTATGTCTAACCTTCTTGATGTAGGAATAACATTTATATACAAAATCTAATAACACTCAAACTCTTTTCACTTTGCCACATTCTTCCTGATGAAGCCAGTTTTATATGCTTTAATTTGGTGGGATAAGAAAAATGATACAAGGGAAAAAATGGAAAAAAAATAAAATATCTTGCCAAAGAAGGAAGAAGAGAAGCACAGAAAAGAATAAGAGATTGCCTTTTAAAATTCAACTATTCCTAGCACTTGGTAATATAGTGGAAGTACTTGGTTTTGTAGCAACATGAAAGATATATTGATCTTACTCTCAAGTTTTTTTTTCATTCATTTATTTTTTAAAATTTCTGGTAGCAGAGCAGAGACTCTAGAGAAAAGGACAGTTTATTCTTTCACAGGCAGAAGGCAAAGCCATGTGTCTGCAATCCTCCTCTGCAGCGTGGCTTTGTAGGAAGTCATTGTGGAGAGGCTGAGACAACAATAACACCCAGTTGTTGGAGCCACAGAAGGACCTGCAGCTTCTAAATGTTTTCATTGCACAGGTCGTAGCTTCGGCAGCACCTGAAGTTCACCAGATAGGTGCCCCACTTTATGTTTTCCACGTTAGCACAGTTCTTTAGGCAGCCCATGAAAGTTAACCAGGGTTTACCATTCTCTGTAAAAGGGATGAGGACCAGATCAGCAAGTTTGACTCTAAGGCTTCTGCAAAAATATTTCTCTCCAGCCCTATACCAGCTGTAGGGATTCTGACCATGGAAATATACAGAGAAGTGCCCCTCGGGTGAGCAAACTCCTGGGGGGGGGAACATGCACTCTGTTTCCCACCCTCAGGATACCCTGCGGTTTCTCCTAGGAACTAGTAAAAATAACTAAATACATGTGCAATGTCTAGCTGCTATGGCAATGCTCTGCTTGAAAAGGCTCTGAGCTAGAGTCTGATAGGCCTCAACCTTGATCTAAGGCACACAGCTCCTGGGAATAATATAACTCTCTTGTTAGATAACCACAATGTTTCACTGAGCCTAAACCTATCCACATAACAGTAACTTTATAAATGGACTTTCTTGAGAGCTACACAAAACTCCTAACATTGCAATTCAGTATGTAACTGAGGAATAAGCTGCATAATGAAACTGAGTCTATAACTTGCCTAGTAATACAATGAACAATATGTACTATGCTGCCAATGACCTAAAGTAACCTATTGATATAAATAAAGTTTGGTAGCTTTCTCTGCCATTCTGCCATCTTTCCTGCCTCTGCATCTTGTCTCTGTTATTTTCCTTATAACCAGCATCTAAAAATAAGCTTGTGGAATTCATGGCTGTTTTATTCAAAGGATTAGAAGATGTTGCAAGTTTGGAGCTTCCCCAAAAGAAAAGCAATGAGGGAGCAGTTTTTAGAATGAATTGGAGGTGGGAAGATAGCACTGCAATTCAGGGATTTCCAAAGCTGAAGATTTCTATTGAAAATCTCAGTAGAAACAAAAATTACCAAAGCAAAGGCATTGCATAGCACAGAAGGTGGGAAACTAAAGAAATCCTGAATCTAGACTTACCCATCAAGGGCCATTGAGCCAATGCCTATTGCTAACACTGTACTCTCTATTTTCACAGATTATTTCCATTCAGGCATAAAGACAAAAAGCCTCCCTCTTCAATAACAATTAGATATTCTCCAGTGGACATATATTGTGTGTTTCCTTTTGTCTCCATTCAATCTTCTCAATAATCTTCAGATTTCTATAAGTACTCTTTCATTATCTGCACATGCCACCCCCAGTGGCCTCCTCCGTCTGTTTCTCGTTATGATATATGACAAAGGTAAAGTTTTAGTTATTCCAAGCGGGAGACTGCCTTGTTGCCATCATGTCCTATTTCCTCTATCACATCTCTCTTTCCTCAATCCACAACTTACTTTTGAACATCCTCCCAACTGTGCAGGCCTCATCTGTGGTTGCCGTACATATTCCTCTTCCTCTAAAGCAGTTTTCTCCAGGGAACTGGAGGTGACACATCCTACATTGAATAACTTCCATAGCTTCATAAGAGAATAGGGAAACAGAAGTGAGAGATGATGGTGCTGTCATGGAAGGACCCACCTCCCTTTTTAAGTTTGAAGTCTGCTTGGAGCCAGAGGGCTTTGCCAGAGCCCCGTGAAGCATGAACCCTTACCTCTATTAAAATAATTTAAGACAAGAGAGTAAGTGAAGTTTATGGACTTGGGAGTTTGATTTGAAACACATGCAGAAACAAAGAAAGAAAGGTAAGGAAAAGAGAAACATCATCAAGACTGAGATGACCAGATGAGGTCCACTTCATACTCACCGGAATAATCTTCATCAACAATTATTTCATCTGTGTTGGCAAAGAAAAATAAAAGAAATCTGTGATTTTTGTCTAAGATTTATCCCCGAGTATAGCCCTAGCAGTCTCTCTCCTCAGGGCCCATTTTGTACTCTTAGCCTGGAGCCATGCTAGGCTCTCTCTGTCCCTCCAAAGCTTAGTCACCTACTCATAGCACTTTGCACCTTGCACCTCTTCTGTCCTTTCAGTTCTCTTCACCACATTAGGGCTTCTCAGATTCTCCTACTCATCCCTATAGGGTACATGCAGACCAGAAAGGTGAGGATACACATTTTTTTTAAAATTCATTGTCTTCTTTCCAATTAACTCTGTGTGGCATTCTTACAGATGCATGCCTCAAATGTGACAAGGGGAACAAGCATCTGAATTCATGAAGTTGCTATACTTTATCTTTGGACAGCTAGGTCTGTAAAGTCTACCTTCCCCTCCCTCCTGTCTCTTTCATTTAGCCTTGTTGGTGGTTACTAATGTTGTTTTTCCAACTCTAAAATGATCTCCCGTCCTAGTTCTGTCCTGTTGAAAGAAGGGATTGGGTATTGAAACTCAAGGTCTTTCGTGGCTTCCTTTCAACCTTCAGTGCCCACCCAGCCCCACTCATCCCTCTCTTCCTGCCTTCCTCCTTTCATCCATTTCTACTCACCTGGGGTTTTACCAAATGACAATGACCCAGATAGTACTGTTGAAGAAAATAAAAAAGAGAGAAGCATTCTCTGCAGATCTCATTTTCCAAACCCCATCTCACAGTTTCTGTGATATTCCTC